GATCTAAAAAACTATTTGAATATAAGAATGATCTATAGTGCAATTCTCTATTTTGTATATTGGATAGAGAGAGTTTTCTGGACTCACCTTATGAGTACGGCCCTTCGATACCTACAAAAGAGAGGAGACCACACAAAAGAGAGTATGTGAGAGTAAACCAAACTCGAGAAATGAAAATGTGGGAGTGAGGGCAAGGAGAGAACATATCATAAGTGCAAAGTGAAGTAGTAATGTGTGGTGAGTTCGGGTGAGAATGTAGAACGAATTTGACAAAAAGAAAATAGAAAAAATTGTCAAAAAAGTCCTAAACTTATTGACAATTTACTAATGTAGTCCTAAATATTTCGATTTTGCTAATTCAATCCTAAACGATTTGTCAATTTAGTCCTTCCGGCCAATTTCGCCCGGTAAATGATTACGTGGATACCCAGTTATCATCGACTATCCTAAGCAGCCGGACCGGCGGACAGCCGGGGCTAAAGTGGATGCCGGGGATCAAAACGGAGTCGTTTCCACCATTAAAAACAATAGTCGTTGTGGAATCCCTCTTTTCTTGCCCCAATTCCTCAAACGCAGATCTCTGTTTTTCCAAACCCCTCGCTCACTTGCGCAATCACCCAAATCTCAACTTAAACTGCGAATTATAGTGGAAGCTCCTTTATAGCTTGGACTTGACACTGCTCTAATAACCTTAGTTCCTTGCTCAACTACAGTTCGTGGCCGACGACCATGCACATGATCAAGGTAAGCTCTTCTATGCTATGGTTTAATGATTATGATATCAAGATTGTTGAACATGATCTGGATGAAAATCGTTCGCAGTGGAAGCCTTTCATTCTCACGTCTATACCTCTTGGTTGAAGTGTCCGTTAGCTATTTGTGAAAATGCCCGAACGAACTTTTGTAAAAGTTCCCTATGGTTCAAGATATATGAACATTGACCACGCCAAATCATAATGAGCATTTTTGATTCATTCATTTACTCTCGTTTTATGATATTTGAATCCGAAAGTAAGAATAATGTAAGGATGTTTGTTTCTATGTTTAATGTGTTATGTTTTGTGGCCTTCAATGGTGGCTCCCGGAGAGAGATATGGTATGGAATCGTTGATAGGCATTGTGATTTTCTGGTGAACTTCACTCTGGTTGCATCCTAACTCTCTTATATTCATGTACCATGTGTCTCGGTGATTTATGACATGATGGATAGTTGGAAATCAGCAGCGACGAGCCACTTTCGTTGCAATCAACAACAAAGATTTTATTGGAAGTTAACACACACGGGCAATAAGTATACAATTGCCTATGGCATTTTGAGCTTTTTTGAGTATATGAGCCAATCATGCTATAAGAGACTACTGTTTTACAAAAAAGAAAATAGTCGTTTAACACATTTCAAAGCATGTAGAGAGTATTGGAAGTGTCCCTTTGTTAATATTATGCTATCCTCGCTTTTTCCCTTGTAGATGATAGAATCGCAAAAAGAAACTCCAATTGTGATTTTAGAATCATAAATAGCAGTTGCACCAGAATTGATGGCAAGGTATCATCGCAAGAAGAGAATAACAAATTCAGGAAAAGATCAGCCAACTCGTCACAATTGACGAGTCAATGCCTCCGATCAACAACGATACGTCCGAGTTTTGCTATTGTCTCCTCAAATCTCCCCCACAAACAGCAAGGATGAAGGGCAATTAAGGAAGATGATACTACGACGGCCCATGATAAAATCAATAGCAGAGGGGAAAGTTGCGGTTTTTTATGTCACAAGAAAAAGTTTTAGGACTTGATTGCATTTTTTTAAAATTTTAAGACTCAATTGCACTTTTGTGATAAGTTTTAGGACTTAATTATACTTTTGAAAGTTTTAGGATTTAACTGCAATTTCGTGACAAGTTATAGGACTTTCAGTATATTTATCCCAAGTTATAAAGAATTTTGTTCATGATTATCCCAGGTCAATTTGTCAAGTGATTGGTTATGTTTTCACTATATCGAATTTTCTCATGTAATATGCAACTAATTCTTTTGAAATTTGATCGGATGTTAGACGAAGGAGCTACCGCCAAATCTGATCATACTTAAATACAATTCGAAACCTCTGAATCGAATGAAACTTTCTAAACCTCTTGAAGTTACCATAACTACCGATTTTGATAGACTTCAACTGTCGAATTGAAGCTTGATTCATAGACCCGTGGGACTATATCCCATCAATATTGGGCTCATTGGAAATCTCTCGTCGAGCTTCGTAACGGCATAGGAGAATGCAAATCAGATGTCGGACGCCCGGGGCCGAGCTCGGAAAGGAAACGGAACCCTCGGTCGAGAAACATGCTCCTCAAGCTATGGCGTGGCGCCTCAGCTCCCTTAGGGTCTGCATAGCAACGTTTCTATTCTCAGAAATAATTTTTGATTAGAAATAGTTTTTTCTATTTCTATTTTTTGGAACAGTTTCTGAGCAAAAAATAACTTTTAGTAACTGCACAAAATTTCTATTCCTGGAATAGAAAAAGAATAGAAACGTGTTTAGGGCGTGAATGATCCATTTCTATTCCATGGACGGATTTCTCCCTTCTGGGCTACCGGCGGAGGACGGCGGGTGGCGGTGGGGGGCGAAGGACGGTGGTCGGCGGCGGCAGAGGATGGCGTTCGACGGTGGGAGGCAGTGGAGCATGGCGGTCAGCGGCGGAGCACGGTGGCGTCGGGCGACGGTGACGACAGCGGGGGGCAGTGGCGGGAGGTGGCTGGCGATGGAGGGTGGCCAGCGTCGGTCGATGGAGCACGGCGGCCGGTGGTGAAGGATGGCGGCCGATGGTGGGTGATCGCCGGCGTCCGGTGGCCAGGGGCGGGAGGTGGCCGGCGGCCGAGGGCAGCCAGCGCCGGGTGGTGGCCGGCGTCAGGCGGTGGAGCACAATGCCCGGCGGCGGAGGATGGCGGCCGGTGGTGGGTGGTCGCCGACGGCGGAGGACGGCGACCGGTGGTGGGTGATCACCGGCGTCGGATGGTTGACGGGGGGAGGCGGCCAGCACTAGGTGGCGGCCGGCGTCGGGCGATGGAGAACAACGGCCAGCGGTGGAGGACGGCGGCCGGTGGCGACAAGCGTCGAGCGGTGGAGAACAGTGGTCGACGACAAGAGGCGGCCGGCGGGCGAGAGACGGGCGGCCGGCGGCGGCGGAAGGCGGGCAGTAGGTGGCGGCGAAGGACGGGGAGAGGCGGCGATGGGTGGGTTGCGGCCGATGGATTATTTCTTATTTTTGGAGGATTCCAGAAAAAATCGTTTCTTGTTTTTGTTCCAAAAACAAAGAAGTAGATTTTTTTTACTTCTTATTTCTGTTCCAAATCTATTCCAGGATCACTTTTTGTTCCAGAAATAAAAAAAATAGATTTTTTTTACTAAACAAATTTCTATTTTTTTTTTATTCTGAAGAATAAAAGAACAAAAAATTAAAGAAACAGAAATGTTACTAAACGGCCGTTATAGACAAGATCATACTTTAGAGGGAAAAAACTACCAAAAACCCCAAACTTTGCCATCTGTGACACATTTACCCCGAACTTTTTTTTGTGACACCAAAAACCCCGAACTTTGCTTTTTGTGACACATTTACCCCAATGTATTTAGTCCATGGGCATTTTCGTCTTTTCGCTTTTTTTTTTTTTTTTTTTCCTTCCGGCGAGGGGGCCTCGCCGGCGTCGGCCTCGCCGGATCCGCGAGGGGCCCTCGCCGGCGTCGAGCGAGGGCGGCCCTCGCCAGATCCGGCAGCGAGCGGCCTCGCCCGACTGGGGTCGACCCTCGCCCGACGCCGCCGGCGCCTCGCCAGGCCGGCGAGGGCCGCCCGCTCGGGCGAGCGGCCGACGCCGCGCCGAGCCGCCTCGCGTCAGGTCGACCCTCGCGGCGTCGGGCGAGGGTCGACCTCGCTCGAGTCGGGCGAGGGCCGCCTCGCTCGCCCAGCGGCGAGCCTCGCGCGCGGGCGAGCCTCGCCGGCGTCGGCGAGCCTCGCCGCGTCGGCGGTCCGCCTCGCCGGGCGAGCGAGGGCGGCCCTCGCCGGCGCGGGGCCGCCGACGCCGGCGAGGCTCGCCCGCCGCCGGAGGTCGCCCTCGCTGAGTCCGGCGCGGAGGCCCTCGCCCCGGCGAGCCTCGCGCGCGGTCGAGCCTCGCCGCGTGCCGGCGAGGTCCGCCCTCGCTCGGGCGAGCGAGGGCGGCCCTCGCCGTCCGTCGAGTCGACCTTGCCGCGCGCGAGAGAGGGCGGCCTCGCATCCGGGGGAGGCCTCGCCGCGAGGTCGAGCCGCGCCGCGAGGTCCCTCGCCGGTCGGCGAGGGCCGCCTCGCGCCGGACGGCGAGGGCGAACTCGTCCGACGCGGCGAGGCCCTCGCCGGATCCGCGAGGCGAGCGCGGCGAACCTCCAAGGAAAAAAAAAAAAAAAGAAAAGCAGAAAAGACGAAAATGCCCATGGACTAAATACATTGGGGTAAATGTGTCACAAAAAATAAAGTTCGGGGTTTTTGTGTTACAAAAAAGTTCAGAATAATATGTCACATGATTCAAGGGTTATGTTTTCCCTACTTTAGAATAGGAAAGATGTTCTCTCGTAGTCAATGCTGCTTTATATTTTCTGTCCGTAGTAGTACTACCCCGTTATCCGAGAAAGAAGGACGAGGCGGCCGGACAGCCACACGTTCGTCCCAACTACGTCACCGGAGGCCCCATGCCTGCGAACCGTGGGTTCTTGAAATTGTTGTCAAAATTGACTTGCTCCAATTTCGTTCTTTATTTGTTCATTTGAAAAATCGGCGAGAGGCAAACTATAAATTGGCGCGATTTCCTTAAACGATACCGTGCACGATTGAAGCACAAATTTGAAAATCGAATCCGCGCGGTTTTATGAAAACCGCATTGAATACATTGTCTATCATGCTAGAATGAGCCGAACATCCAGAAGCTAACACGAACTTGTTTAACTCCATTTTAAGCGAAGGAAGATAATGAACTAGAACAACTGAAGGAAAAAGGAACTAAACAAATTCCATCACAACTCTCATTAATATCAATATACAAGAAGACATGATACGACGTAGCTAATAGCTATCAATATCAACCTATCCCCCTAGCTCAGAAATGTCCTGAGGATAATTTAATGTTTTTCTTTGTTTCTTTCTTTCCAAAACTAAAGTTGAAGAACTTCAATCAGGGAACCACATGTTGAGCAAGCTCTGCTCTTCTGACAGCCCAAAGTCATAATCAGGCTTCAGGGAATCAAAGCTGTGGCCAAGTCCTTCAGTCTCTTGCATTGGATACGAGCTCGCGCTCGTCGTCTTGTTCATCTCCTGCATCCTGCAGCGCCCGTTGGCTGGCATCCGAAATCCCGGGTGGACCGCGACGTGCTCGAAAGGGTGTCTTCTCAAGTCCGACGTCCTCGTGCTAATCATCTCCTGGGGAGAATGTAGATTTCGTGCCTCCGCTTTCGAGAAAGTAAAACTGGGACGGCCACTATAGTTTGTAGCATTATCCGTTGGAGTTTCCTGTAACTTTGCCATGCTCATGGGTATGTCAACCTCAGGAATCAAAGCTCGGAAGTTGGTATTACCATTTGGGCTCGTATACATGGGTTGACAATGCGATTCATTACATATTCCTTCAAAATTACCATCAATTCTATCACATGACATACTCCTCGCTACTTCATCGTTCACTTGTTGCTTCATCGTATCCGTTCTAAGATCCTTCAAGTTCTCGGACCAAGTTCCAGGATTGACTTCCGACCTGACAGGGTACATTATCGAATCGACCTGGGCATTGTATTCGAATCCAGTACAGTTATGGTTGGCAAGTTCCAACAGTGTTAGCAATTCTTCATCTATGTCGGCTCCCATGCTCATCAGAGTTTCAATTTCAATAGAAGTTCCATTGGCCACAGCCTCGTTGCTCTGCACAGATTCAGGACAATTGCAATTATCGCGACGATCATGTGAACATCTGCTTTTGTCCTGTGAATAGGAATTTTCTCCAGTTGCGATAAATACAATATCACGAGCAGAAATCGCAGATTCCGGTCTCAGATTTCGTCCATGGAACACTGATTCACGCCCATCCGCATGTCTTTCTACTTTACGTTCCACTGTTTGTGACGCCGTTCCTCTGTTTTCCTCTGTTCTTGTTGGGTTGGGAGCTTCAGCTTGACGCAGGAAATTGCACTCGGTCCTCATACTTTCTTTGACATGATCACGTTGTAAACTTGAGCTATCAACCACGAAAACCCTGGAAGGATCAAAGGCACCTACATCGACCTCCCTCGACGTGGCGGTATTCTCAACCGAGGACAACGCACTCCTGGCGGACGAATCACTGCGACACTGCGTCGAAGAAGCCCAATTCCCGGGGAAATTCACTCGCGCCAGAGGACCATACATGGCCCGCGCGGCCTTATCGTAAGCAAGAGCAGCATCGAACGCGGTCGCGAAAGTCCCGAGCCAGAGCCTGCTGGCTTTGCCCTGACCCGCTCCGGACCTCTTGTCGATGGGCTCCCGAATCTCCGCGACCCACTTGCCCCAAGTCCTCTGCCTCACGCCCCTGAAGCTGCAAACCGAGTTATCGGGCCCGCCTTTCCCCCGCATGCAGCCTTTCTTCGAGCCCTTCGCCGGCACCCTGCGCGCCGCCTTGACAGCAGCACCTCCTCCTCGGCCGCCATCCTCTTCCCTGACGCCGACCTGGCTGCTGTTGTAGTCCTTCCACCTGGCGAGCGTGTCCTGGACGGAGTCGCAGCCGTTGCGCCGCTTCTTGAGCCGCTTGTCCCCGAATTCCCCCAAGGAAAAGGAAGCCTGCTTGGTCGGGTTCATGCTGACGCCGGTCGCCAAGCTCAAGTGCATGTCTCCCGCACAAAACATATATCTCGCCGGAGGGTTTTGCGTGGAGCTCAGCTAGGGTTTACACGGGCGTGTGGGGGGAAGGTTTAAGGAGACGTCCCTCTGAAAGCGTCGAAACCTTTCCAGAGTTGTCTAGGCCCTGTTTTATATGTCCATCAGCTGCAGCGAGGGAAAGACTGCGTGCGAGGTGATTGGTCGAGACGAGCTGGCTTTTCTTGGGGACGAAGTATCGGTCGCGACTTTCGTGGCAAGTTAGCGACTCGCGTGACGCGGCGGCGGGTGAGTGGGTCATCGCCTTCCACGCGCGACACGTGTCGGAAACCCATTCCCTCCCGCTGCGGCCCTGTTCCACGTCATTTCCTTTGGGACGAAGGTCTCCTTTCCTTTGTCTAAAAAGTAACCCGATCTGACGGCCCAGATGGTGCCAACGGCCCGCCCATCAATCGAAGCGGGCCTTGTGGGGGGGGGGGGGGGGGGGGCGAACCCGGGCAGTAGCTTCATTTATGGGCTTGACCCGACCCGCCCTTTTCTTTACACCGCACAATACCGTGCCTGTATTTTTCATAGGAATGATTGTTCCTTATCGATATATCACGAAATATTTGCTCCAGATTAATTTTTGTCTCGTAAAAAATTCCAAACTAGTACAGAATGGCACCTCACTCCAAATTATTTTTTGTCTCGCAAAGAGTCTCAAACCGGTGCCCCAGACCCAAATCTAACTTTGTTAAAATGCATATAATTCAACACACAATGGATTTTCCACATTGGATCTATCATCCTCCACGTCGGGTCTATCTTGCAATGGTTTTGCCACGTGTGTTGGCACATATCCATTTTAACGAGATATTGGACAAAATGCTAATGAAGGGTAAATTTAGGTCAGGATACTGGTTTGAGTTTTTTTTTAAATGCAAATTATTTTGAAATAAATGTGTTATGTAATATCGGTTCTGTGAGATGGAAATTAGTTTAGAGGTTTTTTAGGGTATTATGCAGGTTTTTTGTGATATTTGTCCTTATTTTATAGGGAAAAAAGTTTAATATTTGCATCTTTATTGGATAAAATAGCTTCATTTAAGACAGATTAAGGTGATGGAAAGAAAATTAGATTATTACGTTGGAAATAATATAATCATTAGGTCGATATTGGACCAAATAGTTTCATACAAGACGAAGAAAGGTGATGGTAAGTAGGGGTGAGTACGGTTTGGGTGGGCGATTCCCATCCTAGAACCGAGAACCGCCTACTAAAGTCCAGTTCCGAAAAATTGGAATTGGGAACCGCCCATTGATTCCATAGATCCACCCGGAAATCGGACCGGACTCTTCCGTGAATCCACTCGGGAACCGGAATGTTAGTCTGGTCCGATTCCTGGGTGGGTCCATGGAACTAGTCCTACTAGCCAAGGACGGAGATGAAGATGGAGAGTCGAAGACGGTGAGGTGAACATTGACCAAGAAGAGTGAGAGAGTAAGAGTGAGCGTGAGGCAAAAGCGAAAGAAAGTATTTCTTGACTCAATGTGAGGCTATGAACGTCGAGCAAGTTAGGTTTAGCTTAGGGATTTATGAATTTTTTTTTTAAAAAAATTAAAAATTAAATAAATATATTATATTTATTATTATATTACCGGTCTGGTCCGGTCCCGGTGAGCGGTTCCATACCTGGAACCAGAAACTGGACCGATATCAAAAAATTAGAACTAAGAACCGGTCTGGTTCCCTTAGGAACCACCGGTTCCGGTTAGGTTCCGGGCGGTTTCGGGCGATTTCTAGCTCTTTTGCACACCCCTAATAGTAAGAATGCACTCTTCAAAGAAGATATCAAACTACTTTCTATAATATTTCAAGGCAATCTCCTACAATAAAATAGAGTATATATATACACTTCCCTTTTCACTATTTCCCTACTATTGTGAGGATCACGTGGTTTTGCATTGATGAGCTTGGAGATTGTCGAGTTAGAACGACTCTAATTTCAATTTCAGTCCACTATCGAATTGCATTTACAAACACCAACAATTAATGAAACAATGAATTTAAAGAATTTAGCATAAACTTACTGCTCCTCAAATTATTGTCCAACCCAAAGAACAAAAGAATAATGAAATATCACTTAAGTACAGAAAATGCTTAACACCAAAAAATAAATAAATAATTTACTAAAATCTTTCCTTCTTAATTTTCGTTCTTTTATATTTCTACACTAAGAACCACCCCTTTCTCTTCTCATTCATCGGGAGATTCTTCCGTCGGTTCGTCGTCCTTAGCTCCGGCGGCTACTTCCGGCTTAATCTCCTCCAACTGCCTCAGCACCTGCTCCACGTCTGGCCTCGCCGCCGGGGACGGGTCGACGCAGTGGAGGGCCAGCTTCAGCGTGTTGAGCAGCTCGTCGCCGATGGTGGGCGTCTCCCTCATGAGCTCCAGATCGAACACCTCGTTCGTCCACTCCTCCTTCACGATCGACGCCACCCACTGCGGCAGGTCCTCCCCGTTGGGGCCCTCGCTGGGGGACTTCCCGGTGAGGAGCTCCAGGAAGACGACGCCGAGGCTGTAGACGTCGGTCTTGGCGGTGGGCTTCTTGGTCTTGGCGAGCTCCGGGGCGGCGTACCCGATGGCGCCGGCGGTGGCGACAACGGTGGTGGAGGCGGAGGAGGTCATGAGGCGGGAGAGGCCGTAGTCGGCGATGTGGGGGACGGTGCGTTGGTCGAGGAGGATGTTGGTGGAGGTGAGGTTGCCGTGGACGATGTTCTCCTGGGTGTGGAGGTGGTGCAGCCCGCGCGACACCCCCACGGCGATGCTCATTCTCGTCGGCCAGTCCACGGTGGTCTCAGGTCCCCGAGCTGCACCAAGCAATGATGCCAAGTTAGCAAAAAGTTAGCAATAAGTTAGTAGGCAAGAGTACTAAATTTAGATAACTAGTTAGAATCTACACTGTAATTTACTGGTACTTACCGTGGAGGAACGAAGCGAGGCTTCCCATGGCCATGTAGTCGAACACAAGAAGCTTCTCCCCCTTGGGACCCAAGTAGTAGGCCCTGAGCGCCAAGAGATTCGGGTGTCGGATTCGGCCGAGAGCGCCGGCCTCGGCTTCGAACTCCTTCTGTCCCTTGGTCATCTTCTCCCGCAGCCTCTTCACCGCCACCTGGTTCCCGTCCTCCAGCGTCGCCTTGTAGGCGGTGCCGTACGCGCTCTTCCCCATGATCTCTGCCGTCGCGCACAGCAGGTCGTCGGCCGTGAACACGAAAGGCCCGTCGAAGTGCACCAGCTTCCCGCCGATGTCGCTGGACTCGACCTCCCGGGATGCGGTCGCCTTCTCGGAGATCCCTCCGCCGCCGGCTTTCTCGGGCTTCCCGTTCTTCTTCTTGGACGCAGCCCTTTTCTTGATCAAGCAGCAGAGCAGGACGAGGCAGAGGAGGAGCAGGATGGCTAGGAGTATCCCGGCCGCAATGAGGACTATGTCTTTGGTGCTGAGGTGGCGACGTCGGCGACTGGACGGCCCCGCAGATGGAGGAGGGGCTTGTGGCGGCGGAGAGTTGGTCGGGCATGGAGTTGAAGTGCTGAAGCCGCAGAGCTGGAGGTTCCCCACAAAGGAGCTCGAGTTGAACCTCCTGGAGAGATCGGTCGGGACGGCGCCGGAGAGGTTGTTGTAGGACACATTGAAGGAGGTGAGATTGGGCAAATTGACCAGCGAAGCCGGGATTTGCCCGGTGAAGTTATTCTCAGAGAGATCGAGCCGGTCAATGCTGGAGATGTTACCGATGCTCGAAGGTATTGGGCCCTTCAAGTGATTGTTCTTCAAATTGAGCTCGGAAAGGTTCCGCAGCACGCTCAGATTCTCGGGGATTCCGCCGTCCAGGCGATTCCCCTCCAAGTCCAGCACCGCAAGAGACGACATGTTGAAGAGACTGGAGGGCAAGCTTCCATTGATGGCATTGAATGACAAGTCCAGTTCCTCAAGTTGAGAAAGCTCCCCTATGTCACTTGGTATGGTTCCTCCAATCTGGTTGTGGCTCAGAGAGAGTATTTGAAGCGTACCCAACTTGGTGATGGAGGCCGGGATCGGTCCGGAGATGTTGTTGTGGTCAAGAGCGAGAATGGCGATCGAAGCAGACCGGCTGACGACGCTCGGGATCGACCCGGAGATGGTATTGAAGCTCAAATTGAGCCGCAACAACTTGGTGGAGTTGGCAAGGCTCGGGGGAATAGTCCCCGACAGCAAATTATTGCTCAAGTCGAGAGCCTGAAGCAGAGGACAGTTGCCGATGGAAGGAGGAATGGTCCCCGAGAGGCGGTTGTTGAACAGATAGACCCCTCGGAGGTAGGGGAGGAACCCGAGAGAGAAAGGGACGGCGCCGGTGAGGTGGTTGTCGTGGAGGCTGAGCTTCCGGAGCGCTTGGAGCTGCCCGATCTTCTCGGAGATCCGGCCGCCGAGGCCCTTCCAGGGGAGCTGCACGGCGATGACCTGGCCCTTCACGCACTTGATGCCCGCCCACCCGCCGGAGCAAGCGCCGAAGCCGCTGTCGTTCCAGCTGCGGAGGACGCCGAGGGAGTCGACGAGGTCGTGCTTGATGGCCCGGAGGGCCTGGTAGTCGGCCTGCGTCACGACCACGCCGTCCCACTCTGCGCCCCGCGAGTGGGCGCCGGCGCCGGCGGCGAGCAGGAGGAGGAAGAAGAGCGGGAGCCGGGCGCGATCATGCCGAGAGCCCTCGCGTTCCATGAACAGGAAAGGAAAACAGAGATTCGAGCGAGCGAGCGCAAGCAGGAGGGATCAAGGAAGAGGCGAGAAACAAATTTGATAGCAAACGCTTAATCTTTCTCAGATTCCTTCAGCCCCACTAAACCCTTTTTTTTTTGTTCCTCTTTTCGCAAAGTTTCTATGATGGGGAAAGGAAGAAGAAGGAGAGGGAGTTTCGTTAGAGCGACATGAAAGGGCAGGGAAGAGGAAGCCAAAAAAAAAGGAAGTATATGAGAGAGAGTAAAAGAGTGGTCGTTGGGGAGGAGGAGGAGGTGGTGGTCTGACAGAGCACGTGAGAGAGTGGGGGCGCGAGCGTGTATGTCTACGTTGCCGGAAAACAACTATTTCTCGCCCCCAACTGAAGAACGAAAAGCCCCAACGGCTACTTTCTTACATCGCAGGGGAGGTGGACACGTGAATCTGTGCATATTTATGCGAACGGTCATGTTGGGACTCGGAAGACCAGGTCGTCTTTGCCCCTTTGGAGCTGCTGCTGCTGCTGCTGCTTCGTCAAAATTCTACCAACGGCTATATTCCGGGTCGGTCTTTGCTGGTTGCTTTGACCCACCCGAACCTTATAGCATGGTCCTAACAGGCTATATGGGGGCCACTTGTGTGTAGGTTTAGTTTACTAGATTCCCGGCACTTTTCATTGCTAGGTTGATTTTTGTACGTGAAGTTAGTTCCTTTCTTTTGGATAATGACACAAATAATTTCTTAACTTTGGCATAATATTCAATATGGTCCATGAAATTTTTAATTTGTTCGATGCAGTTCCTGAACTTTAGCCTGATGTTCAATGTGGTCCATGGATTCTTGGTACACGATCAATGTAGTCCAAGAACCATATGAAAATGTTCAATATTGTCATTTTATTAATACAAGGTCAGGGACAATATTAAACATGTACAAAAAATTCAGAGACTACATTGAACATATTAAAAGTTCAGAGACCAAATTGCACGTTGTGTTAAAATTCATGAACCATGTTGAACAAATTAATAGTTCGGGAATTACATTAAACATTAAGCCAAAGTTTATGGATCATTTGTGTCATTATCTCTTTATTTCTTTTTTTGTATCGGAAAGTATAGTTTCTCACACGACACGACGTTAAGTGTAATCTAGTTTGGAATAGTTCTAAACGAAAAGTGGCGCTTTTAGGTGAAAATGGAGAGAAATGAAGAAGATAGAAAAAGAAAAAAGATAGCCACATGCTAACCAGATGGAATGTGAGCCAACAAGCATGCGGCCCTGCTAGTAAATGGATTGGGAGATGGGGCCGGAGTGTACCAAATTCATGGTTCGATTTCCGTGAGCACCGCACACACATGTACATAGAAGAGAGGAGTGAGATAAAAAAAAAATCAAGATGGAATGTGGGAAGATTGAAAAATTAGAAATTATTTTCCAAAATAAGATTGGATTCCTACGCTCAGGTCTACATCCCTCGAGAGCAAGCCAAGGACCCTAGCGGTTGCCCAGAACCTCCGCGCCCAGGCTCGGGACCCCTGCGCCATTGCTCCGTTCCCTAACAGCCATGCTCGGGACCCCAGCAAATGTGCCCCTTTCCCCATTGTCTGAACCCCTAGACCTAGGATTGTACTCGAGACTTCTCTCTCAAACGTATGTCACAATTTTCCCGTAACAAATATCAGAAAAAGATTTCCATAGTATGTGCAAAAAGAACAACCGATCACAGAAAAATGAAATCTCCGAAAATAAGTATTTTGGAATCTATTTGTTGGCAAAATTGATTTTTCGTGACACACAACTTGGCCCGAGCTCAGATATTTTTTCCGATATGTTGATTCTACTGCGGTAAGGGGCAGAGTTTCCGAGGAGGCGGGTTCTTTGGGTTTGGCATGCGCAACAGAAGAACAGGGAAAATGAAAGAAACTGTCCGCGGTTAGTGTCGGTGGAGATCTGAAAAGCGTTGATACGGGCACAGGAACGTGGATACCGCACGGCATCAATGATGATCGGATGATTTGTCGTCAAGCTTTATTTGCGAGCGCTTCCCCGTGCCAAGAGCAATCTCGGAAGCACGCTGCAAGCTATGCTGCAATTATTTGCGGGAATGCAGAAGAAAAAGCAAAGGTAAAAAGGGAACGAAGGATTTCGGATCTGACATTCTTGAAAGGGATAATAACACAAACAATCCCTTAACTTTGACCTAATGTGCAATTTGATCCCTGAACTTTTAATTTGTTCAATGTAGTCCCTGAACTTTAAGCTAATGTTCAATGTGGTCCCTGAACTTTTAATTTATTCAATATCATCCCTGAACTTTTGGTACATGTTCAATTTAGTCCCTGAACTATATGAAAATGTTCAATGTAGTCCCTGAACTTGAATTAATGGAAAGGAATACATTGAACATTTTCATATAATTCAGGGACTGAATTGAACATGTACCAAAAGTTCAGAGATGATATTGAACAAATTAAAGGTTCAGGGACCACATTGCACATTAGATTAAAGTTTAGGGATTACATTGAACAAATTAAAAGTTCGGGGACCAAAATGCATATTGGGCCAAAGTTCAGGGACTATTTGTGTCATTTTCCCTTCTTGAAACGAAATATGGAGCCTAGGATTAGCAGAATATCTTACTAGGATCTGATGTTGAGGCCATAGGATTCGAGTGCAGTTTTCTGGACATACACATTCACGTTGTAGCATATTGTCCTGAGCGTCGCGGCCGCGACACTGTACTTTGATTCCGTTCAGATGATTCGATTTCTGTTGTTTAGAAGGTGGCTCATACTGAGAAGCAAGTTCAGGTGATTCGATTTCTGCTGTTTAGAAGGTGCCTAATACTGAGACAGAAGCAAGTAGGGGTCCGGCGAGAGCGCAGCATGGTAATTCCTCCAAAACACCCAAGGGTTGGGATCTCAATGTAGACGTCGGAGTTATTTCCGAGTAGTAATTTGCCCAAGGGGCTCGCATGCATAACCTCACAGTGAAACCCTCCATTCATTCCGTATGATTAATAACAACTCCCTGAAGAAACCAAAGACGAAGCCCAGAGCATGAATTCGATCAGACTGCCAATCACTCCTCAAAGCTCACAAGATATCGGAGCCGATCCACAAACACGCTACCAAGAAATTGTCATAGCCTTGCAAGGCCAGCCACATCACCAGATAGACTTTTCTAATGTGAGGACACATACGACATAATATCACACGCTAGAGGCGAAAAAAGCCAACTAACAAGAATTGAGCGAAAGAATGACAATTCATACACTCCGCTAGGAATTCATGTACTACACAATCATCAAGGGCTCTCCATTTATGAGGATAAGATTTCACTCTCCATTGAAATAGACTTTGCTTTAAATTGAAGGGAATCTGAGTCAATGCACTCAAAGGATGAGAAGAGACAATGCCAATGATTTACAGAAAGCATTGCTATATACCAGCTATATTGACACAGACGTATGCTTAGCCCACCATCAGAATCAACCATGTCCTGTCTCCAAAAGTTTCATTGAAACCGGACATGAACAAGAAGGCATTCTCCACTCAAAACTAAACAAAGTTTATGAATTGTCCCTCCCTCCCTCCCTCTCTTGAGAACTGAAATCGAACCATGTGAACAGAATCAAAGTGAATTCCATCTTCACCAAGAACTGAGCCTAATAAATACAGCCTGCAGCTTCACATGGACCACATAAATACAGCCTGCAGCTTCACATGGACCACATATATACAGCCTAAACCTTCTAGGCACGACTCTAGTCTGAAGACACCAAAAGTCTACCAAATCATGTACCTGCGTGCTATCGCTCCATTTAATCTGAACAAGGACAAGAAGATATATCATCTTAACTCAAAACCTTTCGCCCGAGTCACCCTTTCTCATCACAATGGCAATTCACAAGAACACACAGAGATTCCCAGCACAAAGAATCATATAGTCCTTCCTTAGCATAAAGTGAATAAATTATGTGCATCCTAGATAACTTTTGCATATGCCAAAAGATGATTTTGATTGATACATAGCATCTTCTACTCTGTTCCGCAGTGACATTTTAAATGTCCAGTGGTGATGCCACCTCACAACATCAAACATGTTGATGCTTGTTCAGATATTGATGTTTTTACTATTCAAAAAAATATCGATGTTTTTACCAAGCTTTGATGAAGATAGAGACCATCATCGGTTGACAACTCAAATAAGAATCATAAATTGATAAAGAGTCTTTTCAGAACTAACGCAGTGCTTATGAATCCCAATAACTGAGCCTAATTTGTTTGAAAACTTGAAGAGAACTCAACTAATCATAACTCAAGACAAGTGAATTCCATCTTCACCAAAGCTTGATAAAGCATCAACATTTGGACAAGCATCAACTTGCTCGATCTTATTTCAACAAGCATCACAACAACCATCGCACAGAAAAACTCCTAGACAAATGAATCCCCGAAATTCTAATTCCCACCAAAGCCACCATGCACGAGCATGTGGATAAAAATTCCAGTTGTTGATAAAAGGTATATATCTTGACAGTTTCCCTGAGGTGGTCTTACCCACGATCTGATCGGGGTCCCATACCAACGTGCACATAAACAGAAACTAGAAGAAAACTAGTACAGGACATAGCGTACTATCTGTAATAACTACATGACATCAAAGGAGACCCCAATGCATATTCCAATGACATCTTAGCGAAACTTTCCACTCCTGATTTTTGACAATTCACAGAACAAACACATCGTCAGCAGATCGCAAACCCAGTAATTCCCAGGCAGATATAAACAAACAGATCGGGCAGCAATATCTTCACGATGTGATGCGATCCTGATAGATGCAAACAATTGCGATTGGACGAAGAGAACGCACACATACGACAATGGAGTATCCAACATTAAGCGTATCAATTGAATGAATCAGAGTATTCATAGTTTCGTATTCTACAAAAAAAGTAATCACTTTGAACACGAAAGTAGCAGATCCACAACAATAGTATCCAGATCCTACAAATCTACGAATGTAAATCAAAAAAAAAATTCACTTACACGATTATTTCTTTTATCTACTTGTAAAAGCTAAAACCCAGCCGGTCCGATCCGATCCGATCGGATCTGATCGGATCGCGAACGATCTCGACCTCAGACGCGGGAGGCGACCGCGGGGGCGGCGGCGGCGGCGGCGGCATTGGAGGCGGCGCCGCCGAGGAAGGAGAGGAATCCGGTGGAGGGGCTCTCCTGCTCGTCGAGGAACAGGTCCTCGGGAACCCTGAAGGCACCATGGACGCAGACGACGGCCACCCCGGCGAGGAGGGCGGAGATGAGGACGGATCCAACGCTGGTGAGGAAGATGACGACGACGCTGAGGACGATGAGGACGCCGAGGGTCTCGCGGTCGGAGTAGGTGCGGCCGAAGAGGACGAGCGGGGAGTCGGCGGGGCGGAAGAGGTAGAGGAAGAGCCAGGCGGCGAGGAGGCCGGCGAGGAAGAAGAGGGAGACGGGGTTGGTGACGAGGGAGAAGGCGAGGACGGCGGCGACGACGGCGAGGTAGTTGACGCGGAAGTAGGAGTAGTTCTTGCGGACGCGGAGGGCGGCGTCGGAGAGGGACTCGGGCTTGGAGAAGGCGGTGCGGTCGACGAGCTCCGCCCAGGGGCGGCGCTGGGAGAGGCCGTGGTTGAGGGAGCTGGAGAGGTGGTTGACGAAGGCGCGGAGGGCCGGGGTGGCGATCGGCGGCGGCGGCTGGGCGGAGCCGGCGGCGGAGGCGACACCGCCGGTGGCGGCGGGCTGGGGGTTGGAGATGGGGAGGACGGCGGGCGACGACATCTTTCGAGGGGGACTTTCGGGATTCGGAGGTCTCTCGTGAATGCGTCGGATTCGATGCGAAGGAAATTGGGGAGAAAATATCAAAATATATGGGCCGTTGCAGAAGGAGGGAGGAAGGAGGAAGGACGCGTTTTATGGAGGGCGATACTCGTCACGGGGATTCGCGTGTTTTCCTTTTTTTTTTAATTTTTTTTTAATTAAGTGTTGACTGTTGTTACTTCGTCGTTACGGTTAAGTTTTGACCGACGGAGAGGAAAATGGAAAGGGTCGATTTAGGGGATTTTAACTAAATATGATTTGCGGGTGTTTTGGGCCAAAATCTAGGATTTCCCCGTGCGGTTCGACGGATTAGGAAAAACTGAAAAAGGATTTAAATTGATAAATACGGTTCTCTTCGATTTATCGTGTTAAGAAATTTATATGAATGTGGTTTAATAATATTCACGAGACGAAATGTGCATGACAAACGTATTGATAAACCTTTTAAAAGTGCGCATTCAAGCGGTGCTTACCGGCAGGATGATTATGCATAGAAATGACTCATTATTGGCCAAATTCCGAAAAAAAAAAAAAAAACCTCAATCTTTTTGCGTTGGAAAAAAAGTGTAACGCAACTATGCATAATCAACGTCATCTGTACGAGATATGAAAGGTTGGGGTTTTAATTATGCGACTTTAGTGATGTATTTCCTAGGTAACAAAATAAGTGAATTTCAAACTTAATGGAATCTTCTGAGCCAAACGTGATTAACCGAATGTAGTGGCGGATTATTAAAATTTAGCATCTAATGGGATTATCGAACAAACCCTAATTAAATTACCGACATAAGGAGAAAACAAGGAAAGCAAAGAAACAACAAGAGATGCTTGTCATATCCAGTTATTTGATACGTAAAACACGGGAGAGGACGGAAGTGGGGAGCTTATTGACAAAAGTTCGCTCGATCAAACATGAAACGGGCTTAACTCGTTCACTCGTACTCAACATGGGGACCTTAATTTAAGGAAAAGTGTCAAAAAAGTCCTAAACCTTTTGCATTTGTGCCAATTTAGTCCTAAATCTTTTTTTGGTGTCAATTCAGTCATTCTAACTAATTTTGGCCGGATATTGCTGACATAGACGTCGGCCGGTCTACGTTACACCACCGGTGATAACGTGGACAAATTTTAATATTTTTCTATCTTTTTATTTTTTTTTCTTACCCTTTCTTCTTCCTCCAGCAGGCGAACCCCGCCGGCCTCTGGCTAGGGCGGCGAGGCTCGACCCTCACCGGCGATGGGGGAGGCCCGAGCTCGCCAGATCCGACGAGGTCATGCCTTGCCCAGCCCTACTCGAGGCCGCCCTCGTTGCCATCCGGTGAGGGCTCGAGCCTCGCGCTGGTCTGGGCGAGGTTCGCCCTCACCGGATCTTGCGAGGGTCGAGCCTCATCGGCCATGGGGGAGGCCCGACCTCGCCAGATTCGACGAGGTGACACCTCACCCAGCCTAGCTCGAGGCCGCCCTAGTGGCCATCTAGCGAGGGCTTGAGCCTCGCGCTAGACTGGCGAGGCTTGCCCTTGCCAGATCTGGCGCCCAACGCGAGGCTCAAGCCCTCGCCGGATCTAGCGAGGGTCGAGCCTCGCCGGCCATGGGTGAGGCCCGACCTCGCTAGATCCGGCGAGGTCGTGCCTTGCCTCGTTGCTGGCAAGGGCCAGCCTTGCCAGTGGCCGGCGAGGCTCACCAGCCTTGGCCTCTAGCCGGTTGCCAGTCGCCGGTCCGGCGATCGGCTGGAGGAAGAAGAAAGGGTAAGAAAAAAAGAAAGAAAAAGAAATTTTTTTTTAAAACAATAAAATAAATTGAAAAATATTAAAATATTATTAAAAGTTGTCCACGTCATCGCCGGCGGTCCCACGTAAGCTGGCCGGCCGGCGTCCACGTTAACAATATCCGGCCAAAATTAGCCGGAAGAATTGAATTGGCACAAAAATAAAATGTTTAGGACTAAATTGACGCCAAAAAAAAGCTTACGACTAAATTGACATCAATGCAAAAAGTTTAGGACTTTTTTGATACTTTTCCTCCTTAATTCATCCCAACCCACCGTACACTCGTGCAGATCTCTTAACTTGTTTATGTAAATCACTGGCAGAGAAAAAATAGAGTTTTTTGCTGGGCAATCGCCATCGAAGCGGGAGGCGCATTGCTATCGCCCCCGAAACGAAAGGAAACCACGAACCACTCTTCTGAAACCGCACGGTTTATAATAATCAATAATGCATCTGTCTGACCTAGTTTCTTCCTTAGTTTGACCTTCAAAAGCTTCTTCCTTAAGGTCGAAAAGGTACGTGAATGGTTTGTCAACATAACTCTCGGGTTTGGTTTTCCTTCAAACTTGAAAAGTTTCAATATGACGTGCTAGTGTAACAATGACCAGACGTGATTTCTACCGAACAATGGGATCGATCTTGCTATTCTAGAGGCTGAAACCTTCCCAGATGGTATAGCGCATCTGATGGTTATTCATACAGATCACATCGATCGAAAGAGAAAATTCCGAAGACCCCTGCACGCCGATTTCTCGAAGTAACCTCTGGGTGTCGTTTTTCTTTTTTTTTTTCCCAATTTGCCCCCCTTGAACTCTATATCTATCTCGATCACGCTCAGAACTCATCGGACAATGAAAAAACATCACCCCCGGCACTCGCGCGGACCCTTTCTCAAGCCAAATGAAGGGCATTTGGGAGTTAAACAGAAATAGACACGACCTCCGCTCACCTGCAACAAACTCTCCCATTCGAAAAGGGAATAATAAACAACCTATTTTGCTGAGATTAGGGAAAAACATTGAACAGCAACATCATCCCGGGTTTGACAGAGCCAATGGAGCACGAGAGAGAGATGACTCAAGAAGATCTTTGCCTTTCTGGGAAGAGGGTCGGAAAAGGTAAAATTGAGCCTTGTTTGATGCGAGAAAAGGGCACATGAAACACGCATCCTCGCCCATGCCCTCGCCACAGATGACCTTTTTCAACATCCCATGAGGCCCGGAGCTAATTGAGACAGACTTGTAGAGCTAAATTGGGAAACAACTACGTCCAACGGTCCAAGGGGTGATTTGAGAATCGGCGTGCAATACATGCGGCGGAGGGGAGGACTTTGGAAATTTCCGTGACTGACTCAAAGCTGGTCTCAGTTCACAATGAATGCAAAGGTTTTCGAAGAAATTGTTGCAGTAAATTTAGATGGCTATCTCAAACATTTAAATGAGATACTCTGATCATTAAAGATACTATGGTGGATTTGACACAGGTTGCGAGTAAATGAATTGAGTTTGGTATCTCATATCAAAACCCCTCCCAATATTTTCATAATTTCTACCAAACCCATTACAATCCTTCACTAAGTGCACCAGAATTACTACTTTTTGGGCGGTCGTAGTCATTTACTACTTAAATATGCACAAAACCATCCGATTGCCACTACTCATCAAGCAAATCCCCCAGGCAACAGACTCTGCACAACTTATATTTCCCACTCTAGAAGCCAGCAGTAACATATAGAATGCTTCCACATCCACATGACGGCATATAATGAAAGTTCAAGATATTCCATGTTTCCTAGCAACATGCAAATAGGGGGATAATTGCAGAGTCACCTAAAAAGAGACACTTGCAACAGGCCTAGAAGTAGAGTTTAGGGCCGAAATACATGGTAAACGCAGAGGCGAAAGCAGCCAACAGCTCAGAAGGTGGTTCCATTCCATCCAAAGAAGGAACCCTGTCAAATGAGAAAGCATATGTAAAATCTGCCACTGGACTGAGGAGGAGATATAAAACAGAGGCTAATGGTGCTAAGCTCACTGACTTATAATACCAAGGAGTTAATTACATGATCTAGTGCTGGTGTAAAGCATGCAAACACTGTGCATATTCTTGGCTTTGATTGGCCTAAACAAATTAAGAAGAATGCAATGAGAAGAAAACAAAAAATGCATTGCACTAGCATCTTTTCGACATGTATCAAGTTAAGGTCAACTTGCCTTGGTATCATAAAATTTCAGGAAGAATCGGGACTTAGGGATGGACAGCTTGCTCTCCAGGATCGAAGCGATCGCGGCGCTCAGCTTCTTGTTCACATCGGCGTTCAGACCGCCGATTGACACCAACTCGCCATAGGCAGCAGGCTGCTCGGTACCGCCGAAAGCCATGGGGACTGACCCCTTCAACACAATCATCACATACTGCCACATCCAAAACATAAGTTTGATTCATGTTCTTAACTACCAATATCAGAACATAGATATGATACATCATATTTTGGTACATAATCAAAATATAAGTGAATAAGCTTTGGTCAATAAACATCCCAAGAAAAGAGTAAAACTTTCTTCGGTCTAAGGATGTATATCGGAGACCACTGTCCGACAGACAAAGATCTGGAAAGGTTGCTTATCAAATGCTTAGGTGAAACAGTTAGTTGCTGCATTTGCCATATGACAGGTTATTATCCCCTTTTTTAAGTGCACTTCTGCATTTTCCATATGCGGAAGCGCGCTTTCAATTGCCACGATACCCCCGGAGCTCCACCCTCGTGCGATTCAGTAGAGACAGAGGTCATCTAAGTACGAGCTGCGAGCTCAACGGCCAGTACATTAATGCACCAATAATCGAGTCATTCCCATCAATTAGGACATTCCAAGCGCAGCCTAATCAAAAGAACTCCGTATGATTCAGAGCGAGGATCGCATCAAAAGCTCAGGGTCTCGTTCAAACACTTGGGTTGTCAGTTCAGCTCATAAAAAGTCAAAACATCAAGACCGGACACCAATTTAGTCAGCCAGACATCCCGAAGCAAATCAGAAACCTTAGACAATAGAACCTTGACAAGAAAACTAGTCTCTGAACCCAACAGTTGACGGAAGGAGCAACAAAAAATTTGCAAAGAGCAGATCTCCAGGTAAAAAACCCACACCCACTGATCCTATTAGTCTCGACGGTTACGCCCGGAGGCTTAACCCTCTGATAAGATGGCCATCGGAAGAAGGGGGGCTCAACGCAGAGCAGCGCACCCATGAGCGGATAATCACACGAAAGGACGAGATTATGTCTCATGTGGACATGAGAGAGCGAGGAGAGCGCAGCGGGGAAGAAGATAGGGAGGGAGAGAGAGAGCGTACCGCCTCGGGCTTGCCGATGAGCTTGGCGACGCTGGAGGTGGCCTCGGAGAGGACGGCGGAGGTGTCGACGCCGTCGAGGGCGACGTTGGTCGAGATGTTCAAGCAAGGCATGTCGTCGTCGTCGTCGTCGTCGTCGTCTTCGTCTTCTGCTGCTCCTGCTTCTTCTTCTTCGCACCGGCGACGAAACGAAACCCTCACTCTCTGCTCCTCCTGCTATCCAAGTGGATTTTCTTCCAGCACGGAGCTTCTCGAGATGCCGAAACTACCCTCGGATGACTGGCCATTTTGCTCCGTGACCCTCTGAGCTTGGGCCCGCAATTCCATCGTTTTCCAGAGTGAAGTGTCGATTTTGTCCTTCCGGGGAGGACTTCCCGGTCCCGTCGCCCCAGGCCCCCCGAGCCAAGGCCCAAAGGCCTGCCCCTTCTGGCCCCACCAATATATATATATTTTTTTAAATACTATCTCGAATAATAAACTTTACTACTGCTAAATTATTATATTCATTAGGCAAATTAAAACCATAATGCAACCATTAATGAGGTACTATCCAGATAATAGATGGATTGGTTGTCCTTGAACGTATTTAACAACAAGCCCTCGGCCATTTTTGTTTAGAGCGAACTTACGGGGTTTATGAACGGTGGAGATTGGAGCTTGAGAGTTTCAATTACAGGCGACGAGGTGCCATTATCGAAGAAGAAACGTTGCATCACCGAAATGTCTCCGGCAACAATAAACACCATAAGAAACGGATGGACATAGTCATGTTTGATAGATTGAGCGTCTAAAATGTAGTTTAGGAACGAAACATCATAGAATGTCTATGTGAGGGATGAAAGATGAATCAATTAATAGGACATGAGTTATTTACTTTGCAAGATTATGTTTATGATTAAGAAAAGAACACATATTGGTTTAGGGGACATCGGGATCTTTGTCACTGTGAAATAACCAAAAGCTCTGCCATTCTGTTTATTCAATTCATTCAAGGGATGGAAGGGCAAAGATCCTTGTCACTCCAATCTGATCAAGAATTAAGGTCTCACATCGCTAGTCGGTATGCTTTTCTGTCATACCTTTCTTTATTTATGGATTGATTTTCTTGTGTGCTAAGCATAGAGAGAACCATGCCAATCCATATTGTAAAACCGATTAGATATGCAAATATATATGCCAAAAAATTAAAAAAAAATTTATATAGAAGCTAGGAAATTTATATAAAAAGTATATCGCATTGAGGTGGGGGTGATGAAATCTCTCCTGTATTGGTTCCGAAACCTATTGAGTATTGGAGACGGTGCGTATCTTCATGTGGACAATCAACATTACAAGGTTGGTGTTGTTCCATTCGAAGGTAATGGTGTTGATGAAGACCTATGTTATGATAATAAACCTCTAACTGGCCATGATATTGATAATTTTAAAGAAGCTAGTGGCGATTTTTGGACACGGGAATAAATTTGGGATTACAGTAAAAGTTTGTGATTTTTTTTATAAACTTAACAAAAACCAGAAGCAGAATTGAGATTAGACCTAAAGTTGGGATTTTTTAGAGAGTTAAGCTGATATTTAAATTGGTCCCTCGACAATTTTTTTCTCCATGATGCTTCAACGACTTGACGACATCAATGTGTACTGTGGACTTCGCAATGTTGCTTTTACCCTAAATTGCAACTTCAAGCGATTAAGGCCCCGTTTGGTTCAGCATTTGGGGAACGGAAAGCCGAAAGTTAGCATTTGGAATGCTGAAGCCTATTTTTCCCTTCCCAAATTGCCCTCACTCAAATTTCTTTATTCCGGTTTTGCCCCTGTTACTGTTCATCTTCTTCACCGCGAGGGTGGCCGGCGAGGGCGGATCTGGCCGGTGAAGGGCCGGCGAGGTCGCCCGACCCAGGCGACGGTCGCCTGGGGTCGAGCGATCGCCCAGGCGCCGTCGCCTGGGGTCGGGCAATCGCCCAGGCGCCGTCGCTGGGTCGCGCGACCTCGGGCGACGTCGGCTGGGTCTCGTGACCTCGGGCGACGTCGGCTGGCGCGCGACCTCGGGCCGGCGACCTCGAGCGGCGTCGGCTGGGTCGCGCCACCTCCGGCGACCTCGGCACGGGACGCGACCCGGGCGACGGTCGGCTGGGTCGCAACCTCGGGCGGCCGTCGGCTGGGGTTGCGGGACCTCGAGCGATCGTCGCACGGGGTCGCGCGACTCCGAGCGACGGCCGCCTGGGGCGCGACCCAGGCCGACGTCTCCTGAGGCGCGCGACCCAGGCGACGGCGCTTGGGCGGTCGCCCGACCCTAGGAGGCCGTCGCCTGGGTCGGGCAACCTCGCCGGCGCTTCGCCGACCACCCTCGCCGGCCAGATCTGCCCTCGCCGGTGAAGAAGATGAACAGTAATAGGGGCAAAACCGGAATATTAAAACTAAAAATTGCCAAAGCTCTTTGCAAAAAAAGATTTACCAAACACTACTTAGGCCAAAGTAGCTTCACAAATTTTTTTTTACCAAACACCACTTACATTTCTCCAAGTGGCTTTCACCTAAAGGTATTTGCATTCCCCCAAGTTGCATTTGAAAACCCGAACCAAACGGGCCCTATCTATCACCAAATTTTTTACCAAAAAAAAAATCTATCACCAAACGAGTATTTGAACTGAACTCTCATAGAAAGTTGCAATCACTGTACTAGAAATATTGAATCTCGATGTGATCTACCTTGTCACCAACTTCTCCAAGCGGATGATGGTTGGAAACAGAAATTAGGTGAAAAAGACCTATTGAGAGCCACTTTACATTGTATAGATCTAAGACTTGTTACCGCAAACTTTTTTTTCCCGAAAACTGCCATTTTCTAAGAGGGGTAAAAGCCATCAAAAATCGTAAATTATGCCCACTCCGACATATTTACCATAAGCTTTTTTCAGTGACACCAAAAATTGCAAACTTTTACCTGCGTGATCCTCTGTCAAAATCCTATAAATGAAAATCGTTAAAAATCTACTTACATGGACACCAGAAAGCATACAATGTCGACATGACGCCCATGTGTCTTAAATGAAATAAAAACAACATTTTGGCTGAAAAATCATCTAACGAAACCTTGACGGAGGGTATATGTGTCACATAAGTATACGTTTGTGAGTTTTTTTGTCACAAGAAAATTTTTAAGGTAAATATGTCACAATGAACATAGTTTAGGATTTTTGATGTTACAAAAAAAAGTTAAGAAGTAAATATATTACAATTGACATAGTTTGAGTTTTTTGTGACTTTTTCTCTTTTAAGAAAATGCTTTTAATTTTTAATAACAAAAAACTCTCAAAACCATTTCTGATGGATGGGAAAAATGTTAAAAAAACAAAAACCATTCTTCTCCTTCCTAATCTCTCTCTTATTATGTTCGGGGTCTGACAACTGTTGCCCAATGTCACCATCGATATTGATTTGTGTTTATCGCTTCCACCTCTGCCGCCAGCATCTATCGCCTAACTTTTTTGACAATTTATCAATATAGTATTTTGACCCAAAATTGATCGGAAATCACTGATGTGGACCCCAGCTATCTTACATAACACGAACGTCGCTGACGTGGGCGATTTTTGTAATTGTTTAAAAAAAATTTCAAATTTTTTTTCTTTTTTCTTTTCTTTCTTTTTTTCTTCTTCCTCCACTGGTACCAGGTTAGTTCAAGAAGTTTATAAAAATTGAAAAAAGATTGAAAAAATGCAAAAAATTATCCATGTCAGTACCGACTGACAGCCTTGTCACATGTAATGACCAGTGTCCACATCAACGATTGCCGGCCAAACTAGGGCGAAAGAACTACATTGGCAAATTGTCAAAAGATTTATGACTAAATTGACCAAATTGAAAAGTTTAGGATTGAATTGACTCTGTGCAATAGGTTTATGACTTTTTTGGTAATTTTCTCGATATTTGTCGATCTTCAAAGAGTCCATCTTTACTCAAAATCGAAGTGTAAAATTTTTTACACGGAAAATACTCTCAGTTGACTCACTTTTCTAAATGTCGCTAAATTATAATAAATGAAGAAGATGCTTTTCGATAATTGATTTACCGCAAAACAAACTCTCTCTAAGTTTTTATATTATTTTTAAGGGGTCCAAATTCTGGTTCTTGGATCTAGTGCACACTATTTTATGGGGAAAAGTACCTCCTAGATGGAAGTTTGTTAGTACTCCCAAACCCAAGTAAGACAATGATAGAATCACCCCAAGTTAACCTCCAAATGGCTTAATCCGTAATAGGGGTGCGCGGCTCTATGATCAGTCTAAATTCCACTTGAAATCTGGACCCAACCCAACTTGTTAGAATCGATTCCCAAATTTTTAAAACTTGAAACCTACCATGTATATTTTGGAATCTCGAACCTACACAGGTTCAGAGTTGGTTGTAGGATCTATTCAAGTTCCACCTGTATTATTAATTGAACGACTGCGGTGAATTATCACTTCTAATGATTACTATTTATTGTTACAATTCACTAACCACAGCTCATTTTTAAATACACGAAGAATATTAAACATTGACAATGTAAAGTTTCATTAATGGATATTGCCAAAAATGGAAGCTTAGCCTAGTAGTTCTAAATTACACATTCATCATTGGACGCTATGGAATACTGCAAGATTGCACGAAGACATAGAATAAGAAAAATACAAAGACTTATTCCAAGTTTCGGGTTTTAAATGGAACCTGGAACCTACTCATTGGAACCGATTTCCCAATTTTTGAAACCTGAAACCTACCTTGCATATCCTAAAACCTGAAATTGGACCCATTTCCACTAGTTCCCATTCTTCGGTTCCCGATTTTACCCTGGAATCATGCTTACCTCTAATTCTAGATTCATAACTTGGAAACTGTACGTCCGACGGTCGTGTCATAGACTTTGAGGAAGAACCGAGTCCTTGGGATGGACAGCTTCTCTTGTAAGATGTTACCAAGCGCGGCAATCAACTTCTTCTTTACTTGTGAATCAATGCCTCCCATGGATATTATCTCCGCATACGCAGCTGGTTCTTTGCTGCCTCCAAATGATATGGCCAATGAACCCTTCAATATGACCATCACAAACTGCAGAAAATACACAGAATCACATCATATTGAAGAAGAAATGTGATTAATCTTTTGCAGCATGTACAGCAAAATACGTTATGGACAAGGAATGTACCTCCAGTGAGGTGATTCAAAGACTTGC